CGATAAGTGAAACACCTGAAGTTCAAATACCACCTCATACAACTGTTATAATCTCAGAAGTTTCCCCTGAAGCGTCAACATTTGTTGACTCATACCGTGGGACAATTGAATCTATGGATAAGGATGTTGAACTAGTTGAACTCAAAGCACATCCTTGGCTAATGGAATTTTTACTTAAAGTATATATTATACATTTATTATTGTCTGCCAAATAAATAATAATTTGATTATTATTAATTACATCATTTAAATAATTGTAAATGAAAGAATAAAATTGCACTAAAAGAGTCAGTCAAAATAGGGTTTACATTAAAACCTCACGATGGCTCTGAACTAGAAGACTTACCAAATGGGTAATGAATAATTGACACATTTTCTTATTATACGTTTCTTAAATTTTAACAATGAACCTATTTTCTTTTATAATTTATAAGGAATTCCCGGTTAACCGCTAATAGAATGTTAAGGGCTCGAAAAATTCTTTCATATATAGTGGAGAAACTCGAACTTGATCAGCCTGAACCAGGAAAAAATGTAGGAGATAAGACTCTAACGGATACAGTAGAAAAGGATGAAAAAACGAAGAGTTCTTTAAAACCTGAAATGTGGTTGGAATTGGTCTGTTCAGATCAGGTTCGTTTATGAAATTTCATTAATACATACAGTCAGACCTCCTTAAACGCAACCTCCATAAATGCAACACCTCTCTAAATGCGACCTCTGGCCCAAATATATACTAAACTCCCATCAATGCAATGTTTCTTATTGTTCTATAAATGCAAGCTCGCAAAAGTCTGGTCCATACAAGTTGCATTTAGAGAGGTTTGGCTGTATTTTAGAAAATTTTTTAAAATTTTTTTTTTTTTTAGACATTGCCTCCTACAATGACATTGGCTACCATAAAATCACACATATGGAAGCAAAATGGAGATTTAGTAATGACATATAGGTATTTAAATGATGTTTAAAAAGTTATTCCGAAGATCGAATTGATTAAATATTAAAATTTGCAAACTTATATTTTCCTCATGTAGATTGAGGATGAGAAGTGTATGAAAAATTTTATCATGATCTCTGTATTTTCCCATATAATAGGTTATTTGTTTTATTCGTTGGCATTATCTGCTTTACAAGTTTTATTCAGAATAAATGTAATGTGTAGATTAATGCCTTTTAAGTTTACATACTTTTTAATTCATATGATAAATAGAGGTTAATTTTAGACAATTCTAAATATCACATTTAAATTTCTTGAACAAGTTAGCAAATAACAATCTATCGATCATCATGTTTACTACTACTCCCAGAAGTTATGTTAGAAGACTTATCGAAAACGGAAGGGCCTCTCAAAGCCTCTTCCATCATAATCCTATATTCCTTTATCAATTTTTGTTCGCGTTCTTTAAATTCTTGGTCAAACTCCTTTTTCGCACGATTTTGATCATCTAGGAATTGTTGGCGATCCTGCTTGTATGGGTCTTGCCGGATACGGGTTCCCTATTTAAGATTATAAAGGAAAAATCATTTAATTCGTTTAATAAATAGAGATATATAAAGAGATATATAAAGAAATAAAGAATTGATATTTATTCCTCATTATAAAGATTTCATAGCATCGCACCTGTTTTAATGTCCCCAATTCTTCCAATAATGATGTAAAAATCGGCTTTACGTTATTCACTTTTGAAAAAAGAACGGGATGATATAAATTTCATTGGTTTAAATTTGACACCTCCGACTCGTGTATATATTACACAAATAAATTTGTTTTATTACGAGAACTCACATTTTTCCGTGACATCATTCAATTTTTTATCAAAGAGAAAAGTTCCGCTCGAAAATTTATCAGGTGCATTTTGAGTTAAAACTATACATTTTTCGAGGTTTCCATATTCTCGATTATTTCTATTTAACTGAAAAATCAATATGATTAGACGAGCAAAATATTCACAATGACTGACTGAAGAATAATCAAGAGCATACTTCAAATTCTCGAACAAATGATTTGATTTCTTTATCGACGTTGTCTTTTGGGTGATTAAATATAGTATCATAAAATGTACCAGTATCTTTTTATAAGAATTATAAATATGAACGGATAAAGTATTAATTGCATAAATAAAAATATCTCATACCAAATTATCGCAAGTAATATGAAGAAAAGTAATTTACCTTGAACTATTGTTTTTAAGTCGTGTTTGAACATAACTTATTTTTATATAGTACGCACGTACCTAATGGCAAGGTACCCCAGTGAGACTATGAAAGATCGACAATATCACCAATCAGATGATCTGCACTAATTAAATAATCGAATTTTTAAAGTAATAAAAACCTACGTTAGGGTTGGGGTTGTGACTGAAATTATGGCTTATCTTATACTAAAATTTTACGAAGAATATTTTTTATTAGTGCGCAGAGGTGGTTTCATAGAGAGTCGGTTGTTAGAAAAGATCTGATTGGTATATCTATAATGACCCTACTAGGGTAGCTGTCTATATTGATATACAAGGTGATTCGCCACCAAATTAGGGGCGCGTGTGCTTATTTGTAGGCATTCAGTGCTATGAATAAATTTATCAAATAATGTAGAATAATCAGAAGAAGTTACAATTGTTTGTTGAGTAATACTGTCAATTGAACTTGTAGTTTTGATACTATTTTTATCAATAACAGAAATATTTTGATCAGATATTTCAATAGATTATTGTTTTTCCAAATTTGTAAAAATTGTTTAAGAGCTTGTATTCCTTCAATTGGCAATTGGCTGAGAAGATTATTGATAGTTTGAGCTTCCATTGTTTGAGCAATCGTGATTTAAAAATTTGTAATAAAATTTGTAAAAATTTAAGAATTTGGAAATTAAAGAAATTTGGAAGAATAGAAGATAATTATATAGTTTTTTGGAGTTGTACAATCTACTGTTTATTTGTAATTAATTAATATTGTTTGTTTGTGGTATTATAATTTGTAGGATAGGTAATTGAGAAAAATCTCTTTCAAAATATAATTTTAAATGGTTGTCATGTACAGAATCTTTTACTTTTCATCTGTTCATTACACATAATTTGTAGATACCAAGTGATAAAATGTCATAAATTATATATGGTCAAATCTATTTTTCTTTTAGTTTTGCAAAAAAGATATTTTTAAGATGAGATTGAGCTACTAAAATTTTGTCTCCAATTTTTAATTCAGGGTTTTTAATATTTTTGTCATAGGCTTCTTTTTGTATTCATTGTGCTTGTTTAATATTTTCAACAGTTTTTTTTCATTGTTTTAAAGTTATTTTTCTATTTCAAATATTTGTTTTATTAGAGCTTCATTAAAAGATATATCTTTATTGTAATAGGTTTCAATAATAGTTTCTATTGGAAGTTTAGCATTTCTTCTATAAATTAAAAAAAATGATGTGAATTTTATTGTATTATGCTTCATAGTTCTATAGATCAATAGAACAGATGATAAT